GATTGATTGCGATTGGAATAAGTTTGAGTTGAGAATTATTAGAAAGGATGACAGAAAATTGTATGTAATAATATTTAGATAATAATATAAAGATTTTGTGAAATTCCACGTTTCCTTTAAAAGTTAATCAACGTTACTTGTTCAGAAATGTCCATGCCGTAAAGCTCCATTTACATGAACGAAATTTCGCTTAATGCCAATTTATCTGTTTATTAGCCGAGCTCTTGTCGTTTTAAAAAATTACCAAACTCCCGTCGTACGAATATGTAAATTGTAAGAAACAGAATCATAACTTTGCTTCGTGATTTTATTATTCGCACTTTTTCCGATTACAAAGGAGATAACGTTATGTACAAGAAACTGGAAATCCGAGTAACAAGCCAACTCGTTTTTCCTTGTTAACTCATTGACATGCACATTAACCGCCAGGAAATCTGAATCATTGCGGCCGTCTCTTGTTAATTGCCACAATAAGTAGACTGCTCCATTTCCCAGTATTTTGAGTAAATAAACGAAAGATCTTATAAATTTATAATCGACTGATATTCATGCAGTAATCGTGTATTGAACTTTCTTTCTCTTCCGATAAATACAATTTAAGTATAGAAACTATCTCCTTGTTGATGCAAATTGTCCTATCGTCACTCCCTCTCTATAAATGAAACCTCACAGAGAACTAAATCATAAATAAAAAAAATATTACTGCAATTGTGAGCTGTTTAAACCAAAATTTCAATGTACGAATCCACTCTTTTTTCGAATAAAAAAACGAATAAAAAAATTATTTGAAAATCAAACGGAACCGAGAGGCGAGCGACGAAGCTCGACCACCCATTTGATGCAACAGTCGGAGAAATGGCCGCGACGAGGGTCGGCAGAACCAAAGAGGAAACAGAACAAATCGCGCCATTCTATTCGCGCCTTTGAATAGAAGGCGAAAGAGCTATTGGCGGTATGACCGCTTAAAAATAACGTGCCGGTTACCAATCACTGACGCCTAATCGTAAACGCGTGTTCTTTCCGCTGGTCGGTTGGACCGATGTTCAAGATTCGTCGAGTGGAAAGAAGAGCCGATTATCTCGTCAACGTGTATGCCCATCTGGATCGACTCGCATTTTCGTTGGCTTTGCGTCAGAATCGTTCGTCAAGGTGATAAACGACGCTATCGACGAGCGCAAAATCGACCAACGATCTTGTTGGCGATACGCGCGATCGCATTAGGCCGATTAGGGAAATTTCCATGAGAAACGAACGAGCAAGGTCGAATACGCATCGCGAATCGCTTAGAGGATTTATCGCGGCGCCGTTTCACCAGCAATCTCGTTAATTGGAGGCCGTCGGTGAAACGGCGAAAGAAACCGCTGCGAAATGTTGCATAAAGAGTGGCGAGCGACAGAGTTGGCACGTGTAATCCACCACAGACAGATGATTTTATTCACCTATGAAAATTATGTGTATTTAGATGTCTCGTTATCTGAATTTCGACGAATCAGAAATATATGTTAGAGTTTTATCTTTCAAACAAATCGAAGATTTCATTTCTTAAGACACGACACAATCGAAAATATGCGATAGAATTCTATCTCACAATATATAATAGAGACAAGGTGTACAATCTCGATTGAAAGTTCACGACTTTGAAATAGACGGTGCAGCTGGCGAGAATGAAAAAACAGAATTAAAAAAAAGAATGACGATCACGAGGACAATATGCCGCGAACACGTCCAAGTCATGACGATTGCAATTACTGTAATCCGAACGAAGACGGTAACGACAATGGTGGCGGTAACAGCGACAACTCGATTCGACTGCTTGAAAGAAACCAACCGCCAATTGCAGCTGGAATATACCTATATAGGTTTAAATTTAAAGCAACACCCATTAAACACAAGGTATTTAGCCGCGATCGCAATAACATTCACGCGTTTACTATCACGCGGATAAAACGTGCATCGACCAACCGTTTCATTTCCACGAATAACATTTTTTTAAACCTGTCTCTCGTTCCAGCTGACTTTCTGTCGCAAGCACACGTGGTCATAGTACCGCATCTCGCCATTCCAACGACGATTTCATTGGATTCGCGATTTTCAATTCGATTCTCTAGCCAAGAGAATGGACAGAATCGCCACGAGAATTGATCAGCCGAGTGGATCGTTTACGCGACGCGGACACGCGATATCGTAAAACTATACAATTTCGAGGGCAGAAAGGTCATCGCTGCAACGTAATACCTACGCGCCTAACGATTCCTCGATCTCTGTTACCGACACTGCTGTCGTCTGCTTCCTTCCTTACGAGGTCTCGATCGATCGTTCGATACTTACGACTCGACGATAGTTTGCTGGCAGAAACGCCAAAGTTTTGCTTTTCCGGAATCCTTGGCCGATTTACAACGATAGCTGTTGCAGATCGTTGCTTGAGTCGAGGATATAACGAAAAACAATTTTAATTGACCGCGACTTAACGAGCAGTATGTAGTCACAAGTTGGGAAAGAAGGATTAGTCGAATATAAATAGGTCCGATTTCGAGGAATTTTGGATGATGGAAGGTCGGTGGTGCTCGTGCGGGGAAGGTGCACGGTGTACGGTGCACGATGCACGCTACGCAGCAATAGGTACGGTACGCGACTAAATCGGCCGAGAAGGTACGCGGCTTCTTTATGAGCTCGTGATAGGCCGTGCGCGAGGAATGCCCGAGGAATGCGCAAGGAACGCTACAGCCGAGCCCCCGGTATCGCGGTCCCGATTGGTCCCGATCGGCCCATGTCGCACCACCATCGTCCCGCGCCTCGTCGATACCGTCACAGATTCGAATCTACTCTCTTTCCCCTCTGACAACAACTTTTCGTTACTCTCAACGATTCTAGCCACGATTCTAACCTCATCCAACCTCTTACACTCAACCATCTATGTGCTAAATTCGACCGGTCAAGGACACGACGATGGTAGCTAGAAGCTATTAGCTACGACATTTGCCAGATGTCGTCCACATATATATCTGGAAACAATATATTTTAATCTATTCTGTTTCTAAGCGTTGTCGTATTTCAGAACGAAAGACATAATTTATGTTTATGTTCTCATCTAACTTAACATTATCGTACCCGAAAACGAAAGTCAACATTCACTTTCATATTCTAACCTAATCTAACGTTATTGTATGTGAAAATGAAACACAAAATTAATATATACGTTCTAACTTAACTTAACGTTACTGTATTTGAAAGCAAAGAAGCATAATGTATATTCATATTCTAATCTGACGTTATGATATTTGAAAACAAAAGCAAGGTTCGCTTGTTATTCGTCGAAAGTGATACAGTAATACTAGGATGTATTTGTTTCAAGGTCTGTCGGTCAAAAAAGAAAAAAGGAAGAATAAAATAGAGAAAAAAGAAAAAAGGTGGCACGTTCGTGTCGCTTTCTTTCGTGGTTTATAATTGCCAGTAAAAAAAGAAATATGGCCGTGAAAGGAACAGTCACACAAGTGAAAGCGAGTTTGAGAGAATAAGCACGAAGTACGGGAAGACTAGTGGATTGGATAGAGGTGACAAGGTGCGATAGATCTGGTTCAAGTTAAAAGTATCTGATTCGCGTGCGTGCGGCGGCCAGCGATGTTGCGCGTATCTCGTTGCTTATTATTCGCTGTTGGCAGCGAAGTGGGGACAGCAACGCGCACGTTGCTTTCGCGGCGAAAGACTCGTGCTTAAAGGAGTTGACTAAAAGAAGAACGAGGAAAGCAAGGCAAAGGGAGAGAAGAGTGTCAATTGCGCGTAAAAAGTCTTCAAGTTTAATGGCGATACGCGGCGACCGAATGAACGTTGCTCTAACGACAATCATTCTATTGGCTATTTTTAGCTGGAAATAGGTCGGAGTGGAGGGCTCGCGGTTTCGAGAGGGCACAATGACGATGACGACAACTATGACAACCAGAAAGAAACGAAAAATAATCTGTAGCGCGCTCTTTAGAATTCTCGTTCGATCGAATTACAAGGCACGAGAATATGTTTGATGTGAAAAACCACAAAGTAGAAGGTCACGATACGACAATAAGTCGTATAATTGTCGATCGTTGTGTCGTGTACGAAAAGTAACGACAAATTAATTGCCATCCGTGTAATAAAACTGCTATTATTGGATAATTCACGAACGTGCGTTTTATTCAAACGTTGCGACACAGCTGCACACCTGTAGCCTGTAACGCGTTGCGAACAATCAACAATGGCCGAATATTCTTCCCTTCCTTTCCTTTCACGATTCGACCTATATGTATGACGATGAACGTGACCCAAACGATCAACGTTCACGAATATTCGTCCTTGACGAATATTTACACCGAATACATATGCTAAATAATTCGCGACGATTACGCCGCGAAAGATTAACGAATTTAAAGGTATGTCAAATAATTATTATCACTGAATTGAACATGTGTCCTTGAATGTCAACGAAAAGCAGAAAAATGCGAGATAACTTTGGTAAACATATAAAAATCAAAATTATTTTACGAATCTGCTGCAGAAATTTGCTCATTAGTAATGATTTAAACTTAAATACTAAAAAGATACTGTTGATGTTATGCTGATCAAGCCATGCGTCGATTATGCACGAACTGATTAAAAAAGAACGTGTCAACTCACGAAATAAAATTGATCACTTCTACATATTTTTCTCCTTTTCATCTAACTAACCGTAATTAACTGAATAAATTTCGTTATGCAGAATTGTTTTTTGAATCGTTCTCCCATCGATTATTTAAAAAATGTACGCGTGACACGATCCGAATTACTCTACCCTTAATTCGGTTACGAGTGCTCCAAACTCTCGAAAGGTGAAAAAATCGCTAAGAACGTTGGTGCTTCCATCTTTTGAGGAGATAACGTAACAAAATGTACAAGTCGCTAACAGTGTTGATAGTAGGCAATAGCGGTAGTAGTCGATAATGCGAACACTATACATCTGTTGGTAATGTAAAACTTTCGGTATACGAAACAAAAGGACACGTTTACGCAATAAAAGACGAATGTCTCAATTATGGATCAACGAGCCAAATCCAGTCAGTTCAACTGGTCCAAGCAGCAGCGTATGTTACGCGTAACGGAATTTGTGTGGCGAGAACAGCGATTCGTTTACTTAAAATTTAAAGTGATCACGGGATACAGTGACGTGGCGTGTGCATCGGCACGTATACCGAAATGTGTGCTAGTCTATGTAACAGGTAAAGCGTGCGTCGAGTCGCGTCTCGCGTCCTATAGCGTCCAGATGAGCGAAGGCCTACGTGATATGTAGATACCATGAGATGATGCAACATCGTTTCGATTTATGTATTCATCATTGTTTCTGCTTTTCGGTAAAACCAAATTAACTCGGTTAAAATCAGAGAATTCACACATTTTCTTGTATCTGTTTAGTCGATGAATAAGAATAAAAATCGCTTTATTCTTTTTAACGAACAGCGTAGGGTTTAATTCGGATTAAAATCTATTTTGAAACATCTAACGTGGAAAAATTTCGTCGTTATTGCGACTCGTTCGCCGATAACGTCTAATCACGATAATTCTGATTTACCAGGGCTGATTTGCAAGGAAGGAACAAAATAATAAAGCGCAATTGCGCCAGCCCTCGATTATTTCATTGCACGTTGACGTCAAGTTATACAGCGACCAATCATCGAGCTCGCGCATCGACGAGCCCCCAGTGAAGATCGACGAACACGCGTACAATTTCCTCACGATTTTAATGATCAAGACTCATAGAAGCTCGATATTTGACCTTCCCTCTTTCAATGACACGCTAGTTAGTCAAATAAAATTCATTGTTTCAAGTATCTCTTTATATTATATCGTTTGCTAATCTGTTGACCGTTTCCGGATCGATCGGTAACTTTCTTTTTGAAAATCGAATTCGTGAATCCATAAGTGGGACTGCGGATTCATATTTTCGATGCAAATTCATATTTTTATATATACAAATAAACAGCGGTATCTAGATAGAGATTTATATTCTATTCCTTATATATTATAAAGATGCAATATATTATATTTTTATACGTATGCGTAAATGTAAAATAAAATTAACAACGGCTTATAATATTTATTTATAAAACGAGATGTATATCACTAGAAGCATTCTTCGAACCTGCGTTTTATTTAACGATTTCACAAAGAAACTTTATATTAAATTTACGTATACTTTTACGATATTTTATGTTTTCCTGTATTATGCATATTTTCTGTATTTCTATACATTTCGACTTCCTATAAATGTATAAGTATACGTTAGTTTACCGATAACTCGCAAAATCGTTAACTCATCTAATGAAAACAAATGTAATCAATTTGTTTTTCCAATTAAGTTTTTATCATTGTCTATAAGGAGAAAGTTGCATTTAAATAATGATGAAAAAAGACGAGAGTAAGCCGGAATTTAGGCCAGTGACAAAACGAAACGAAGGTACAGCTGCCAACTTTTACTCGAATCTCATCTTCTCGGTCGAGGTTCTCTACTACCTACGCGACTATCCGACATTCGACCCATGACGTTGCAACGTGACGTTCTTCGCGCGCTTCTTGCGTGTTTCGTGCAACATTCGAATTATTGCTGTTTCACGGTTTTGAAATTTTCAAGCTTATCGCTCATTTCTCAGGATTTTACAATCTCGAAAGATCATACTAATACTGTTGCGATAAACAGCGGACTGAAAATCACTCCAATATAAGTCATGATTTTGAAAATATAGATCTAGTCGCATATTTCAACTATCGAAAGAGTCGTTCTCTTTGTTTCATAATTAATTAAATATTATAATTAGAATGCGAATGTTTATGCATTTATGGGAAATTAAAATATACAAAAATGTACAAAATAATATAACAGAACCTTTAAAATGCGTAAATTCAATCAGCAGTAGCTTATTTAATTGGGTACTGAAACTAAAACTTCATTGAACCAACTTCATATAACCGCAGTTCGACAAAAAGGCTCTCCCGTAGTCTATGAAATTAAAGTCTTCTAATTTTCTAACCGGACAATCTCCGTAGTAACAGTAACTTGTCAATTTCTTGCTTCTTTTTTAACTTCTACGAAGATTTTTTCCTCGATACTATCGACTATACGAATTGAAGTTGCCGCGACTGAAATTGCATCGTCAGTTAGCACACATCTCATCGTACGAGATTGTACAAAGTCTCCTAGCGCTTCTCATTACGTCACAAGTGTTAAAATAACCTGCTCATTGGTAGTAGACGATCGAACATTCGTCACGACCATGGTATCGCTCAAATAAAATCACCATCGAAACACGCGAGAACAGTGAAACCTGCAGACACTCGATAGTATGACCTTTTGAACTTGGCATCGATACTCCAATCATCGTGATACGTATACATACTTACACATGTGTAAAAGCAATGCATGAATCGAATAGTGCAAGATTGGAATAAGAAAAGTTCGAAGATCTCCAAAAGGATTAGGACATATTTAGATTCTTTGTATAACTACGTCAAATCTTAGAGGAGAGTCGTAGTTGTTAATTAAAGATGCAAAAGCACAAATAAAAAGAATGAAGGAGAAGGTGGAGGAATGAGAGTCGCTGAGGATCGAGCCCCCTTGGTTGAACCAATCGCGAGACGTCTCGAAACCAACGCCTACCAATTCGACCAATCGGAGATTAAGACTTCCGAAGGCACGACCGCGCGTATGTATCCGCTTTCTCTGGTCGTAGAGGGTCACAAACATCGTTGATGATTGACGGAGCAACGCGTGACCGAATTAATTTTACGATCGTTCCTGTCATTTCGATTTATATTGGTACAACATAAATGCATTCTATCACGTGATGTGTGCGCTTGCTTTGATCAATTAATTCGTCTGCTGTCATAATCGAACACGTTGAAAATGAGAAGCTGTGAATCTTTCCCATACGACAGTTCACAATACTACAATATGAAATCTAATAATACCATTAGGTCGACCCTCTAACTTACTTTGAAATCAATTCTGGCAACTTCTCAATTGTGACATTGCCATACCATTGCCATACCAACATTACTTAAGATAATATTCATTGAATCATTAAGCGGATATCGTTTGGACGGTCTCGTTAATTTCATCGCAAAAAAATTGTAATTTGTAAAAAAAAATAGCATTCCGACACGTCCCATTTTTTTTCTTGTTTTTGTTTTTTATTATCTATTCGATAAGTTGCAAGACTGCCGAAACGTTCGAATGTGATCATGTCAGTAAACATTAGCGTAAAATGCGAAATACCAAATTCAAGGCTATTCTTCCTTCTTATTTTCTGTGCAAAAGTTGTACAACATATACGAGTATGTGCGTGTTAGCACCGATTGGTCTAACAACTATAATCACGTGTAAAATGTTCTTTGTCTGAACACTTGCATGTACGTATAAAAATTCAATCTTCCGAACTACACTCAAACTTGCAAAAATTTACGTTCTATTAAAGATAAGAAAAACACATTATGTAAGACGTTCTAAAAAAAAATTGAATTTCCGTCCAATAGGAATCGAGTTAGCGGTGGCGAACGTCAGAACACGTGTTTTTGAATGATATCGAGAAACAGTCGAAACGCGATAGATCGATAAAATTGTGTTTCTTTTGAACAGGAGGCGAACGTACCTTTGTCCATACTATCGGTGAACCAGATGGAAGAAAGAGGAAAAATTAGCACGTAACAAACCCACTCACACCCCCGGTTAACCACTCTTAAGATCGGAGCAAACGAATCGCACAATCTTGAAAGCGAAAACACACGCGATACAAATAGCTATCAAGGAAATGCTACAGATATTAAACACGCAGTAGATACCGTTGATGACGAAATCAAATTAATCGATTCGTTACAGAAAAAAGTATTCACTATTCACTGTTCCGCGTTGCGTATGTGACTGACCGAGAGTATCCAAGTGAACCTCCACCGTTCAGACTCAGACGCTCTTTCGCTCTCGTCCCCTCTTTCTCCTTTCCTGTCCGTCTCCCTCTTTCAATCTCTCTCGTTTCATCCCACCCGCTCCTTCTTTTTTTGACGTTCATTCGTTTTATCGCCCTTACTGATTGTCAGTCTTTCTTCCCCCTCTCTTTTTTTACATTTGCCAAATCCTCGTTCTCTTGATAAAGAGGTAGGCATGCCCATCGTGTGTCTACAGTGTCTCAGAAAAAAGCAATCAAATTTTTTTGTCTATAAATTATAATAACAGCGTTGCGTAGATTTAAAGAGATGGCAGAGTAATGAAGTCAATATCAAAGGGAAACAAATGAAACATTATCTGGAAGAACTTTCTTTTTTTAATCTTTCCACTTACGTTCAAACTCGGTCTACACTCATGGACAACCCGGTATGAACTGGTTTGCATCGACGTGTATGTGTGCATCGTGGCGTCTAGCCAGACATCGAGTTTACGCGAGGATCAGCGAAAACAACCGAAGGCGAACCACGTGCCCACGATGCGAATCATTCACTAATTTTATCTCGACCATAAACGAGCAAAATTTTTGTTTTTATCGTTATAGATTTATTTACTAATTCGCTTAATATATTATGGGGAAAAAGTTTGTGAAATACTATCGAAATATAGTCATTTCTATCCACATACTGTACATACAGATATTTTTCCATTATGCGAACAGTAATTGCGAGAATGTAATCTATACGAATTTTTTTCTTGTGACCTCTCTCCAACTTTTTGCACGATAGATTAGACAGATTCGCCAGACAGGGAGAATACAAAGTCGTTCTCAATATCATTTAATTTTCTTTTTTTGTCGTAATAAGATAATTTTTTAAAGGCTCGCGTCCCATCCATAGCTTGATCTTTGCAAATAGATTTTAAACGTACGAGGGCTACCGAATCGATACGAAAGGAACCGAAGATACCACGTGTCGTTTGAACACGTTACCACCGCGTACATTTACAACGCAAGTGCCCTCTCTTTGATCGCAATAATTGATGCTGCATAACGACACGCCGAATTAATCTGAGAGTTTTTTAAAGAATGGATTTTGTGTCGATAATTTACCTTATCTTGGTAGTTACACAAATCATACAGTAACTCATTTTAATAACTCAACTCGACGACGATAACGATCGGTCCTCTCCCGTTATAGAAACGCGTGACTCCGAGAATCGATTCACTTAATTGCAATGTTGTCTTTGAATTGGCAATAAAATAAATCGTATAAGCAGAACAACGGTATTTGTAAAATTGCACAAACATAAAAAAAAAATAAAAAAAGAATAATAAATATTTACAACAATCCGCCTTTCTACGAATATTTATTTTGATTGAAAAGAACGGTTACTTGTTTTTCGATAGATGATGAAAGATATTATATACATACCGTTCGAAATAACCTCAGACTCTTTTTTGATGCGTCCTTAACCTCGACACTATTTCGTCGAAGAAAAATTCCTTGCAGAAATCGAGGTGCAATAAGCAGAATAAACATTAACTTCGAGTCACTTGAATGATTCTCATCGGTAATGTATTTCGTTCCAAGTTATTTGCACTACGTAATTTTAGATCGTAAACATGTGGCAAGAAAGTATCGCGTGCACGCTAAACATCACACTCTTCCAATACACGTGACTTTTTGCCTATGACAGTGTTGAATATCTCTTGTCAGCAAGCTAATATCGTTAGAGGTTAGGTACCAGTTCTATGTTTCACGATTATTCCTAACACGATTGTATGGATTAAATAATCGGCCGAAGGAAACAAACAGGAAATAACGCACGCACGGTAATGACGTCGCGTTTAAACGAGAGAAAATTGCTATTCGAAGGATTAAAATAACGGAAACGATATGAGCACACCACGGCGAATCTTATACGGCACTGGCAACGAAGGAACGTAACCTTCGAGAGATACGAACGCTCCGGCGTCCAATTGCTCACTGACGCACTGGCGTGAATCGGGAGAACTTTTATAGAGTTACCCCTCGTATCGATATGTTTCGCCGGTAAAAATTATGTATCTGCCGTAATCTATTATAGTGGACTCTTCTCTGATACTCCCCTCAACGTTTCATTTTCTAGAATCTATTACTTACATACTGAGTCCATTTACAAAATCATTTATTAACAAATAATATTAGTGAATTAATAAATTACAAATTATAGGTTCTAGACTTTTCCATAATTTTACGATTTTACGTGAAATGGGATATCCAGATATCTTTGACTTATAAAATTCACTTGTAAAAAATGTCGTCTGTTTTATCATCAAACTTATTATTATGATGCAAGAGAATTTATTAGTAATAATAACTTGTAACTCGTGACTCGTAGAGTTTCATTTTAATGATATTACTTCAATTATGCAAGAAGTTAGGTATTCTTTGAGAAATTTTCTCCTTTATGTTAATTAAAATTAAATTATATATGCCAAGATTAAAGAAAGCAGTACAAAAGCTTATTCCATTTCTACACAAAATTTGTGGCAATTTGTAGTGGTATTTTATATAGGTTATATTTTATTAAATTATATCATTTAGCGTAATTAGCGAGAAATCATTCCAAGTCGCCTCCTGTCCCTATAACGCAACAAATCAGAAACATTCAACAATAATAATTTCAATTAACCTCGGATCCCCTAATTGTCATTGTTCAATTGATTTCGTCTGGTGGGCCGAGAAGAATAAATTGGCATATAAAGAATAGTAGACTTAAACGACAGATTTTTAACGTCAGTGATTCTGCGTGACCGTGTGGTCGGCTGATTTTCCTAATGTCACGCGATTACGATTTCGTCACGTGATCTAAATTCGCGCGCATCAAGTAGCCTGCTTTATCGATACATTCGATTTGGCTTGCTTATATGTCATTTCATCTTCCATTAACGATCCAGTGAATAATAACAAAATAATATCGAGTGTTTAACGACGAATGAACGGAATTATTTTCCAACGTTAGATACAATTCGAACGTATGTAAAAGTTGATGGAGAAGGTAATCGTGTCGCGAGTCAAAGCGAGCCGTGATGATAGCCGTTGCACAGTTGTACAGCAAGTGATTCAAAGTCACTCTATAACTGTTCGTATTTATATTTTTCTGGTAAAGTCATCGAGTCTACACGTGCTTGAAATTATCGTGAATGTTTGTAGCAATGTTTTTAGCGGCTGACATGAAATTTTTCCACGATTAAACGATTCGATCAATTGGTCAGGTCAATAAGAGTGGAGGATTACTCGGGTCTCCAAGTACGTTGACACAATGTCCAGAGTTCTTTGCGCATATGTGTTTGTGCGTGTATGCGTGACCATATACATATGTATATCCGTATACGTAATACATACTGAAATGTGATTTACTAGCTCTGGCGTTCAATTAATTTGAATGCCGTAATAAGGCACTTACGTGCATTGAACCTTGGACTACGAGATAAAGTTATTCTCGTAAGTCCACTATCCATCAGCCTTTGGGTAATTAATTTGCCTTGAGGAGTCTGATTGGACGAAATGTATAGAGAATGTATCGGCTCCGGGGGAACGATAAATAGGGAGAAAAAAAAATTACTGAAACGCAAACAAATCTTTGAATATTCGAATTATATAAAACCCGTGAGAACCCAGACACGGAAGATTATCTCAGTCGTTAAATGTTTAACCGTTTTATCTTTGTAGTGAGAAAAGAGAAGAGAGGGGGTACGATCACACGAATCGAACGGGAGATTAGGTTGGTTCGATAAAATGCGCAACTAACAAATTTGCACACCTATCAATTACGATTTGTCTTCACAGACGACTTACCGGGTACCGAGTTGATATCGATCGAGTTTATCACCAATTGATCCACGATGACGACGCAGTTGGTAGCCTTGATGGGTGCGCTGCCCGCTGCAACTCAGGCAACGGCGAGCTCCTTGCCAAACAACCAGCATCACTAGACAATCAAACGAACGACCCTCAGCTTCTTTATCTCAACTTTCCAATCAACTTTGCGCTACACATATAAAATATGCGTACACGTACGCAAGCGCGGTAATGCGAAAAGATAGCAGCTCGGAATCGGAAGATCGTATTACGAAATGAGAAATAATATATCATTTCTTTTTTTTTTTTTTTTGTTTCTATAGATTAAATTATGCAGTGGCATATTAAATCAAAGTATTTCATACGCCGAACAATTATCAAGCAATTTGTGGTTCCACTCGAATTAATTGGACAAACTCCAACGTAACCTTGTATTAAAATGTTCCATTATTCGATATTTATTCGAGATATTGGTTTTTACCGTGTGGAAAAATTTCTTTGGAAATTTTATTACACAACTTTCTCATTTTTCGTACAATTTCATGTTGATTTGCAATTTTACTGATTAGATATGCTGCCATCGACATTCAAAATTATAGCGCGAATTTTAAATTGAAGTTTAATATTCACATTATCTCGCTATTCAGTTCTTAATGGGTTAAATAACGTATTACACATCATATATGTATATAATGTACTTTTCCTACTACGTGCAGTCGTCAAACCTTACGTGGCCCCATACATAGCGATTTTTATATACTGTTAGATGATACTCTTTCCGTTTTCCGGCGTTTTCGGAAAGTCTAACTATTGTATTCGTCAAAACTCTGAGTTCGTCATTTAAAACTGGAAAAGTCAGCGACCAGATCGTGAGACTCAAGCTCAAGGGCCTCTGCTCCATAAAGTATCCCCTTCCCGACCAACTGAACTTTCACTTAAGACCTAAAACAACAATTCCCACTCTCACAATAGATTTTTCCACCGAGTTACCGTGACCGTTGCCAACCACCGTGAGATCGTTTCCGAATCCGCATATTCGAAATTCGTTCAAGTCTTTACTCGTGTCCATCTCCTAACCAATAATTGTTTTCTCCTCTGCTGAATATATCCTTAGAATTTGATACTCTAAAACAATTATCCAATTATTTCTTATCATTTCTTAATTTTATCATTAATTATTCACACAAATTCTTGCTCGCGCAATTATTATCCATGTTGCAACATGGTTTGCCCGAATCTATAAGAAGCAACATATGTATTGTCGTCTCAGTTCATTTAGGTTCAAGTTTGTTTAATCACAATCATAGCTATTACCGTAAACGATATAACGCAATGGTTTTTTCTCCATCGCCGATAAGAAATGCGAAGATACGCGAAATATATGTTATGTGGCGTTTGTATGATGCTAGGAACGCATTGTTGTTACTAACAATACATTTTCACTAAGATACAATAAGCACCGAAGCGAAATTTTTGATAAACTTTACAAGCGACAAGTTACATGACTATCCCATCAGCTAATGTGTAACACAGAAATCTATAACTGAAGCTACAACTCGTAACTTGTCAATCTATTATTATCGAAATTATTAGTCGATAAATTATTGTACGATAGGTTCCTGATGAGATCAGGTAAATAGAGTTCTATTGCATACATAACAGGTTTACGTATTTAAGTTCTATTTGTGAGCTGTTCGCGAGCTCCAGGGAGAGACAGTGAGATTATAATACCTTTAATGCAACGTTGTATAAACAAGTAAAATAATACAATTAATAAATAATTGTCGAATAGTCATACTTGCTTAGGATAGAATTAAGAAAATTTATCAATTATCGATATACGTATCACGTAGGTTGTAAGATTCTTGAATAAAACGTACATGTAAATGTAAACGAAGATGTAATCGCGAGTGACCAACAGCCGAAAGTCATGAATAAAATAAATATATTAATAATATATACATTATGGCACATAGAATGAGAAGTTTACCGCAATATTCTCAAACGTATACCATTGCAAATTAATTTATAAAATTTCCTTTCTTGTAGACGTTCCTCCACTTTTGGCTTTGCTCACACCAGTAACTTTTTCCATTCGTTATTACTGGCCAATCTGAATTTTCTTTCCATTCTTTAACACTAATCAGTCTGAGATTTGGCTGTTTTGCAGCTACGTACTAATATTTTCAACAAACGATAAAAATATTAATATACTCATTCATTGCTGCTTATATAAGACTACGTAGACTGTAGACGCTTGACTTTATTAACAGACTGTAATTTACTTGTAAAATTAAAGCGGAAAGATTCGGGACAACATTGATCTCTATTAGAGTTATCGTAGAATATCATGGCACGATAAATGTCTCTAACGAATTAACAAAAATTAATATTAGTAAATGTCAAATATTTTGGAGTAGCTTCGTTGAGTAGCTTTTGTATAAGAAGCTATTGTTATTCTGAGCACATTTAACAGATAAGTTGTACAAGTTTCCTTAGAATCGATAGCGAGGCTAACAAATATACGATAAGCCTCTCTGTTAATCGGTTTCAATCACGATAGCCTCGCTATCAATTTCAAAATGGCTCGTTCAACTTATCTGTTAAGTATTTCATTTTAATATAGTATTGATAAGATTTTTAAATAAACAATTTAAATTACATATAACAGATCTATATCTGTATATTCTACAGAAAGACAGTAAGTATCGCCTTTGATTGTCAGTTTGCAGAAATCAAAACATTTATTGCTATAGCAAATTGACGAAAACGTAACATTACAATAAAAATATAAGAATTAATAAATTGTAGGATATCGTAATAGAAAAGCAGTTGTTTGTGTCAACGACGATGACTGTGCAAATGTGGTCATTATTGTCCATATAGAGAGTTGATTTGCTATCCTGATTGTGTGTCAAGCAAAACGAAAATTTAACCCATTAAGAACCAAGGAGTAAAACGAATGCATAAAATTTACGCAAACCTATATTACTGAAAAACTGAAATAAATGACTTACATATTACCCAGTTCGTTAAGCTACAAAAAGGATATATTAAAATAATAAACGGGATCAGAGAGATTCTACGTGCAGGAAAATAATTGAAACGAGTTCGAGACAATCGCGTTTACAGTACGTTCTGTATATTCGAACTTTACGTTTTCTTGCACGTGACAATAAGATGAATAATAAATCAAAATAAGATGAAAATGAGGAGTAACAAAGTTGCGTTGGAGGCTGCAGTTTTTGGAAAATCAAGTTTGAAAACTTGTCAATGGGAAATGAAAAACAAAGGAGGATGTTAGAAAATGGCCATTTTTGGACTTCCTTGAGTACAAAAAATTCTAGAAAATTCAAGAAACTAATCCATCCGTTACACTTGATCTTCACCTTTTCCACATACTGAATCATCTAGGAAATGATTTTTTCGCAATTCTGCCGGTAAATCAATCGAAGCTTGGAATCGAGCCAGTTCAGAGCATCACAGGATCGTTGTTACGTTCATCAACTTTGCACCCGCATGCCTGTGCTACAGTGTCTTCCAATTCGGTTTTATCTTTGTCAATTAATAGGTAAACAAAGTATTTTTAATTATTCGACTGCCTTTTATTCCAATGCAATTATTCGGTTCTATTTCAATTTGATATTTTTGATAGTGAATGGAATCGAATGCTAATTGCAATCTGCAATTCAAAGTCGAACATCGAAACTGACAGATGCAATGGGGAAACGTCTTATCTGTTTACGTCTTCAAGCTAGTATCTGAGAGCGACTCTGACTGATTTTTCGCACTTCATAATTACTTCAATGTGTTTACATTAATTCTGTTTTTAGACCGAGTGCAATTCGTTCCTGACATACAAAACATATATATGCGGATACAAAGTCAGCGAGCGTATCGTTCATCATTGTTCTCACGTAGCAACTATCTAGTGGTATTACAGCAGAACTTCTGAGATATTACGATGTCGATATAGACGAAAAATTATCCTATAAGTGAACAAGAGTATGAAGAAAATGAAGATTAAGTGTAACACACGAGTAAGTTTGCCACTTTTTCATCTTCGCACTCATTTTCTTTTTAACTTTCCTATCGCATTTTGGATAAATGGTAATAACACGCATCGTTCGTCGAAAGATGCTATTAAATGTCCTGTAAGAATTTATCGTTCGCAAGGAGGTCTAAAAGTGGCCATTTTTCAACATCCTTCTTTTTCGTTCCAAATCCCTGACAGTCGTGGCTGAACGTGTTCAAACTGTATTCTTTGGAAAATGTGATCTTAAACAGAGGAATTTCATTTTATTTTACGGGCTTATATTCGCTCGAATATGTAACTTCTTACAGATTGTCTACTGCTGTCTAATTGGAAATTAGCCAAATTCGTGTAGACTTGAGTTTCCAAACTTTATTTTCGTTTGTGTGTGCAATTCTGCTTTGTTTCATTTTTGTCCCATTTGGTGTCATAGAATATTTCAATGGTATCACGCAATTGTCTGCTAAACTATTTATTACAGAAAAGAATATCTCAAGTAATACGTACTTTGTTCGGAGGAGGACATCTTACGATGACCAATAGATTTGTCAAGGAGTTCGAGACCTCAATTTGTTTTTATAAATTGTATATGTTTTCATTTAGCTAGGTTTATAGCCCACTTCGAGGCGAATTCAAACTTTCTTTTCTTCAGAAATTCAAGATGATCTCGTTCCTCGTAGCACTTCGTCGATACAGCTGCATTGTTATTTCTCTTTACAAACAACAATTTTCCAGAACATTCTTAGTTCCTGTTACAATCTCGTGGAATCGGTATTAAGAATCAATATTATTGTATCTGGCAGTGCGTGTTTCTTGTATCGGTATCAATTCAATTTACGATGGCTCATTTCGTTTGGAATTATATTTCAAGTAATTTCATTAAGTATGTAACGAACCATCGAAAATTAATTTGATACCTTTGATTTGAGCCACGGACGGCCCACGCTGAACTTCTCGTTCGGGTCATTTGGATAATTACACATAAGAAGAAACATTATCGCGAAATGTTTCATAATATCATTAATTGGTACATAATTGTCATGTTTAACAGGATTATCATACTGTGAGCCATCGGTGGGTCATGCGGCATGATGATGCGTCTTTGGATCGCACGATGGCGTTGCTAATTTGTTCAAATCGGCCATCGTTTTTCTTTCATTTTATTTGTCATTTTTTATTATTCAGCGAGAGTCTTAACGTAATTCAACTGGGTAGGACATACGCATAAAAGTGTAGCAACCCATGGCCGTATAGAAAGTTCCAGGATTGAAGCACATGTGTTGGCCGCATAGTCCGCGAAACGACTTCCGAAGACAGGACGTCGTAAAAAAACAAATCCTGGGACTTATTAAAAAACCTGTGAGCCTTCGAAGAGAAAATTTATTGCTTTATTGCCTATGGGTTTCTCCATCCCCACCTCGGAAGAAAACTTTCTCTTCCGAGCACCTCGGTATCCTGCAAAAAGCGAAACGAAAAGAAGCTCGCAATGGTAGTCGCCGGTAGTCGCTGGTAGTCGCTGGTAGTCGCTGGTAGTCGTTGGTAGTCGTTGGTAGTCGTTGGTAGTCGCTGGTAGTCGCTGGTAGTCACTGGTAGTCGCTGGTTAGTCAGTCAGACAGATAGCCACGGTTAGTTGTATCGAGTTTGTATGAATTCTGTATCAAATCTGCATGGAGCCTGTATCGAGGCGCTATCGAGACAGTAGCACTTTAGTTCAGTGATCATCAGAACTGTATCGTCATCGCTTGAGCTCCATCTCTGTCACGTTACGATCCACCTCAAATTGGTGACCCCGACGTGATCTGAACGAAAGAGGTGA